CCACACGTCATGCTCTCTCAAGAGTAAATTTGTCTGTTTTCAAGTTAGTAGGTACGAGAGGATATTACGCATATATATATATATATATATGCGCATGGGATGAGATGTTTCAAGTGGTTAGAGTGCTGTTGTACTGGCCGAAATGTCCATGGATCGAACTCTACCCCTGCATCCAGCCTACCCATGTCTAGGCTTGAGCAACCTGGCAGTATCCCAGCCCTCCTCTTTCGTTTGAGTGGCATGGCGGCTAGAACCAGAAGGGTATTACAGCTGGGCAATTTATTTTTATGTACGTAACTGCCTCTTTGTTGCCTTCTGGTAGGTTTCTTGTGTTTTGGTAGCCTAATAGTCCTAGCTGCAGGTACCTTCCGTAAATTTTACTCACATCAATCAACCAAGCTAATCCCGGAACACGGTGATTTTTAATACTGGGCAGCTGTTTCTGTGGCTGTAAATTTCTATTGACAATTTCTATTCAGCACCATAAACTTAACGCCAACGAAAGTGTAATTGCGTCAAATAACTGGTGTGCAAGAAAAGCGCGCGACTCTTAATAAACCACAGGGAGAATGGCACAAATAGCAAACTCTCACATATATATAGTACCTCACCTTCCAGGGACCAGTAGTCGTTTGTGGACTTCCGTGTTGAGAGAAGATGACTTTCGGGACTCCAAAACTAGTTAAATTTGGTTATTCAAACAGCATTTTAATAGTAACAATGACCTGTCAGCATCATACATTAATCATACCTTTGTGTGTGTCCAGGTCGTCCCTCATCCTCAACCGAACAAAGGTATCGGTGATTAAGAATGTCGGTTCAGTGACGATTAGACAAACTATTGCTAGCGGTTTTGTGTTTTTTGCATCACGCTGCAACTCATGATTTCCCCTAATGCGTGCTTAACTCTAGGCTACATTAACAGCAAACCAGTAGCAGAGCTGAACACTCTGATCGGCACCGGAACACGCACCAGTGCAGCGTCTTTGTTCCTTGGGCAGCAATACTAACCACTACTGCTTGGAACTCCGAGATTTTATATAAGTTATACGTTAATGAAAAACATTCCAGAGTGACTGAACACATTTGGAGGCTAGCCATAGTGCTTAAAGCTATCTACAGTCAAGTTGGACTGCATCTTCCTAAACAAGCTTCACAATTTTGGAACCAGAACTGTAGTTTAAGCCTGGGATATGCGCTCAAATTATGTTCCGCAGCTACGAGGTTTCCTTTGACGTATTCGCGTGTCAAGCGCCGTCACTGAAGCACACATTGTGAGACAAACGATCAATCATTTGGCATCATTCGGCAGACAAGTATGCTCATCAATCGTACTCATATGTATTCACTAAGGTTTGCTAAAGACCGATCACTCAGGTCTGGTTTACTTAACTCCGATTGAAAGCAGGTCATCTGGAGCCACTTTTGCGCATACGACCAGCCTGTAGTAGATCATCTATGAGTTAACGAACTACCATTATAAGGAGAAAAGCTTTTCGCTGCGAAGCTGTTTTTTTTCAAACACCAACTATGCCGTTAAAGATTATCAGACAGGAAAGTAAATCTTTCATAAGCGCATAGTTTCTAAAACCTGAACATTCTCACGCGTCTTCTTGAACGTTCATGGATATTCACTGACTATCACGCAATTGTAAACAAACAGTGCAAATCAGTTTCACAAGTTTTGTAATAGATTGCATATTTCATTACAGTGAAAAACCGCTGATTCTCCAGGTCAACAAGCGCAAATTTCCTATAAAAAACAACGAACAAACTCGTTCTTTCCTCAATCACTAATACCCTCTATTAGCAGGGTCTGATATTTCTGCACACCCCATGGAACCACGATCCTCATGATCCTCGTCGAATCGCGTTAGCTGGACTTTGGACGGCTAGTTGTTTTGAAATAATATGATCTTCCGTGTTTGATGTTAAAATACACCTGTGCAAAACGTTTGGGAAAAAGGGGTGCATTTGGCGTGTTGGATTACCTAGCTGTTTTCTAACGATGTGCTGCGGCCTAAAAGCGGCAGGCCTTGAGCGCAGTAGTTCTGCATAATACAAAATTCCGCATTGCTTGATCTGCAGGATTTCTTCGCACCATATCCCAAGGTAATGTTATTTTAGTCAGTAAAATAAAGTAAAATAATGAAATACACTCATTTGCAAATTAGTGTTGCGGAGACTAAACTGGAATCCAGCTAAATTTCTCTTTGTAATGTTTCCAGGCAAAAAATTTGATACTTCAGTGTTTTTTCAGTCTGGCGAAAATCAACTTCGGCGTATCGTTGGATTTGAAGAGAAAGTGAAACATCTTTTGATGACTAAAAGCAGCGTTAGGAAGCATGTGGAGAGACTTTTATGTAGACAGTCTTTGTACAACGATGCATTTCTAGGAACATGGTGATCAGTAGTTTCTAAGTCATCACCCAACGCTCTTGCAACTCATGGTCACCAAAGTGATGCAGGGAAGGTCTGCGTCAAGCACTATCTTAGAACTTTCTGTCATCCATATGCCAAATAGCCTACACCAACAGCAAACCAACTAAGTGCGGACTAATAATTTCATCTTACGTGTTGGACATAATGTGATCGAACAATCTCATTTGACGTCAAACTATGATGATTTTCGGGGTCGTCGTTATGTCGTACGATAGCGGGATGTGTGTTACCCCTTGTTGTACATTCTCTGTTTATAAGCACTTGTGAAATAACGGTCCATACAATGTTTGGCCATTAAGATACGAATAATTCTCCACGGTTACAGTTAATTAACTCACGACTTGACTGCCCATTGCGTCAGATGCCAAACTGTGATATTATCTAAGAAGTGCCTAGTTATATATGTAACACGATGAATCGGATGCATGTTCTACGTATTTTGCATCCTCGTAAATGATTCTTTGGCTTGAACGTTTTGGTGATCCTTGATCAAAAATTTCTGATAAAGATTGCTCACCATTTAAACGCACCAATGCGATATTTCCTGACCAGCATACTTCTATTAGAAAATATCTCACCTTATATTCAAATGGAAAGCAAGTCCTTTATTATTGTTTTATGGAAGTTGAATCTACAATGCTTACACCTATGTATTGCTCCTGGACAAGTAAATGAATAAATGTAAAAGTCATCCAAATTGCTTCTTATTTGTAGCTAAACGACTAATTATGTAACCGAAAATGTGCCTAATGAAAATTCGTAGCCATATACACCTGAAAATGAAGTTTCCACTACGTTTGGGTTAAAAAAATAGTTACTTGGGGTGACAAGCCTGCAATGCGTTGCATTTTGACGACATCGCTGATCACTCTGTCAAACAACCAGCCATAATCGGGACAAGTGATATCTTCCCTTCAAGTAGTCTAAGAACCCAGGTGGCCTCTACTACACCTTGTTTCAGCGCAGTAGGAAAACCACTGATTGACTCCATGGGTAGAGATATATCGTTGGTGTAAATATGGAAGCCGGCGCACCCAATAATTTCCATTGCATCACTTCTGTCGTAAATAGCATATTCAATAGTACGAAATCAGCAAATGCTATTCATTAGCTAATTTTACATCCTCCGTCGGAAAAAAACTCCCCGGAATGAATATCTACCCTCAAATCTTCGAAATGAAAATGTTGAATTTATTTACAATGTGCTAGGTATCGCTCTCGCTTCCAGTTTTTCATCGATGCTACACAATTATTTTAAGGTGTTTATTTTGATTAACGCGCGAACATATAGTGCACCAGTTCGTGCAATAGTTTTCTTTGAGCTTCCAAAAAAATGCAACATGTATGGCTTTGAACATAACCGTTTGCTCCTGCTAGTCTGTTGCAAAGGCCATGCCTGACATGATTATAACTCCTGTTTCGAATTTTGTGTCCTTTTTACAAATACCCCTTTTCCAACTACTGATAACTAAGAAAAGTGCAGTTAGCTGTCCATGTTCTTACTTTTTAATGAGAAAGTTCAAATAACTCTGCAAACATAACACGGTTTGCTCCTGGTAACCATGGCAACGATATTTTTGTTAGTTTCTTTGAGGGTTGCTTGTCTTTGAAGGTTGAACACTGGAATCAAGTCTACCTTGTGTTGCACTTTGTGTTTAATTTCTCTTAAAACATTTCGTTCTTCATCGATTTGTATTTATTACTGGATCAGTTTACAAGTCCATAAAATAATTCTGTCTAAATCCACAAGACATCTAGGGTGCTTTTGCGAAAATAAGCATTTCTTTGTGTCAGATTTCCTAAGCATTGCTATAATGTTGGATATCCTTACGGTCTTCGCTGCAACTGCATCCGTACATGTTTCAACACTTCTTCGTATGCGTAACCTGGTCAGTGCAACTTACCGTGGGCATATAATATTTGCCCACTTTCTGCGTGTCAACTGGTTGCATCCATATATTCGATGCATTCTTTAAGAAACGACTGTTACCACACTTCCTGCGTATTGAAAAGCTCTCACACGGTTTATGCGTCCTCCAGTTTAAAGTAATTATTTAAAGTAGCATGACTATATCTTCCGGATGGGTTGGGACACGAGACATCAGTTGTTTATTCCACCATAGGTGTCCGAAAACCTCGAACCTCGAGCAGACAATGTCGCGCATAAATGTATTCACAGACTGGAAGAGTATATCTGCCGACAAAATCCAACCAAACAACCGGGCTCCCTTCCAACCATTGTCCAATAGCTTCGGAAGTAAGCTTTGAAATGATAGCGAATACTGATTACAGGCTATATGTTCACTATGTGGTGCTAGACACACACAGGACTGTTCATTTAAACTTTTATCTGGTACGTCTCGTAACATTTGTAGCGTTTTAATTCCGTCCAAAAATTTGTAAACATTTAGTAGCGCCATGCAAATGCACAGCATTCATAATCGCAATCCACTCATACGTTCATCTTAATAATCGAATCAACGTGAACTATTCAGTCCGTTGGATCCTTCTATCTTTTATCCATGTGTCCCTAATTGCTTCATCCTTTCCAAACTCACCGTTCGAGGTCCACTCGGAGCAGATCTACAGTTGTTCACAAAAGGATTTCCTAAAAGGATAATACTACCAATAGGAATCTGCTCGTTCTGGACGTGTTTAGAAAACAGTGTTGCACCAAGTGAATGGGCTTCCACAGAATCCCCTATGATATCCGGACACCACAATTGTGTTTTGAGTCGTCTGGATGGTGGTGCATACTCGTCATTATCAATTTGACCCGGAGCCACAGCATAGAATTCCTGGGACGTTACTCTGGTATATTGATATCAATTTTGTTACCCAGTGATCTCTTATTCGTTTGAGGAACCGCCAATCTTCTCGTCGTATTCGGCTGTTTTTTGGTGTGGCTGAAGCTTCTACCAACCTCAGTGACTATTTAACAGCGACACTCTCTTTGATGTGAACCGTTAACCAACCGACCTTGGTGCTTCACATTCCCTAATTGTGGGAGAGGATTTGGCCGTACGATGTCTTGCCACGTTCGTTAGTGCATGGCGACTAAACGGTGCATCAGGATATTATTCATAAGGATTCGGTGACCTGGGGTCGTCGACTTCCACTGTCCAACTTCACACACAATCATTTTCATCGTGTTACGAGTGAATCTTTTATTTATCTTCAGGCGATTGTCACCTGTGCACTTGACCTCATGTTTTGAATGTGCTGCCGTTTGTAGTTCTGAATGTCTATGTCTAACAGTGTGTTGATAGACGGCAACATCTCTTAATTTCTACACTGAGTATAAAATTTGCTAGGAGATTGGCGGTTGAAACTGTCGTTTTGCTCACTACATAATGGCCTAGAATGTATGATAAATTGTTAGATTTTCCAATTGTGCTGACTTCAAAAACCCCGGAACCAGAATTTAAAAGTTATGTATGAAGCACCATGTGACCACCACCTTATGGTCAAATATGTAAGGGTGATGGTGAAAATTTGAGGGAATAATAGAGCTACATTAATTAGTGGTTTCTGCTATAGCGATCCACTTGAGGTTCTTGTTCTAGACCAAGGAGTGTTTGCTCTCTCCTTCCATGCAAGATAAACTAGATAATTCATTTACAAATATGCTGCGACGCTCCACAAACGCAAATCAGTGCCGAATGTCAGTAGAGTACCACAAATTAACTGGTCCGACGGCCACTGATGACAGTATACTCAGTTCACACACTAGAAAATCTCCCTTTCGCAACTGTAAATTTGGGACGAAGACTGCCCTACCGTAATGTATGTGGATCCCGGCAGCTTCCAAGCACTGTTTAAGGTAGACGCGGGTTACCGTGTCAAATACAGAAGCATGGGATTAGTTTGTGTCAGCTCAATAGACCTTTACCGGATAAATCATACGTATTACGTTTCTTTTACTAGATGCTCAATAACCGTGATTTGCATAGGAGTAGTCAGTCGTGCTTGCGAATCTATGACCTAAATCCATCCAAAACTTGATGTCAAATATAGTTTATATCTTGCGATTGAGCAGAAGTTACTGGTACTTATGTAGGACTTCATTACCCACAAAGATTGAGAGACAAAGCATCACAAAGTAGCTAAAACTGCATGACGCTATTTCTACCACCAAACATAGCATCTAGAATATGCTGCCCCAAATAAAACATGAAAACTTCTGAGTCCATTGCCAGCTTAGGCAGTTATTTGCATCCTCAAAAGGATCACAACTGAGCCTAATGAGTAATCGATAAAGCGTAGGTATACAACAGAGCGAGGTTTACATTTTGATCATGACTTTCGAAGCAGACATTCCGGACAAATACCTGTGAAGAAATACTCTCTTTTTATTTCGTGCGTTATGCTAGTGATCACAATGGTCTTCAAACATTCAAGTGTCGCCTGCTGGTTGAGCCTATATGATTCAAAAACGTCGCCAATGGCAAGATGGTCAAGTTGATTCTCTTAAGAAGATCACCAGCTCAATGGAGATTGATAAGTGATTTTACGAAAATATATCTGCAACTTCCATCAAAAAGCGTCGCCGCATAATATGACGGCGATTTAACTAGACTGACCAGTTAATACGGAAGCTCGAAAATCTAATCGGGATACCATGACGTTGGGAAAACCAATCAGCACCGCATAAAATTCCATGACTTGGGTCAAAAATTACAGAAATCTTTTCAAATATCTTTGCTTGAATATAGACCTCAGATGTTGCGCAGAAGAACAGAAAGGTGCAGGCTCATGGAGATTAAGTATACCACGATACGTGACAGTGAAACCACTCGGGTTGTTGAGCAAGCTGTAGGAAGGTCGAAAAGGGGTATTTCAGTTCAGAACGTTTTACTGTCCGCCACTGTAGCATAGAGCATTCAGTAAGACGGGGTGTCCACACACTCCACCAACTCTTGCCGGTGAAGCGTGGACTTGTCATATTTTACATGGGCCGACTTCAGCTAACATTGTCGCATGGAATGGGATGCTCGTTTTAATGGGTCGTATTAATTTTATTCGCACTGCCAGAAAAAAGCCTGTACAGTTACCTCGTAAGGCAACCAAAGTTGAATGTTTTCAAACTTGTCCTGTCCGCAGAGGCGCGGAAAGAATAACCGAAGCGCGTTTCGCCCATTCTATGTGATGCAATTTATTAGCTGGCAAAATGGGTAGTCCGGCAACTCGCACGAAGGTACACAACTAAAAATCAAGCTAAGGTGACACCTACCACAATGTTATACAAATTTCTTTTAATCAGTTTTTTTGCAGCACAAGGAGTTGCTGCGGTGTTGCGCCGGAAGTGGTCAGCTTTGTTCGACTTGATAGTTTAACGTACAACGGTCAGCATTCAGAATGCTGAAAGTAAATTATATTTACTTGAAGAATTTCATAATGAAAAAAACCTTTAGCGATATTTTATATTGCCTCGTCCTTCATCTATTGGTCTTGACAATAGGGATTTTAGCTCCGACCCAAATGCCTGTTCAAATAACTTGTCTGCTTGCCAGGAATAACGAAGCTATTTTGCTTTCAACCGCGTTCCAAAATCACGCGTTTTGTTTATTTTTTTGTCAACTAAGATGATTATTTGGCCAGAAGAAATCAATACCTGCTTTAAATCGCTTGCTTGGATAGTGACGACAATTAAATCCCAAATGATTAAAAACGTTTTCATGCGGTGCGTTTTTTGGATGTATATTTGCATTTAATAACATATTTTCCAATTACCCGGACCAAGTAAACACAACCAAAGCGGTAAAGAAATAATAAAACGATTATTTATGCTTTTAATTCACAGTCGCTCACTGTATTACGAGACTTGCCTTTTTTCCTACTCTCACAAACCAAGTCACCCAAAGATTCTCATCTTACGTTTGCTCTCTACCGTCTGAAAACCTTAGCAACAGGTTATGTGATGACAAACCCACGTAAACCCAAACGGATACACATGTAGAGAATCCGAACACAGTCAACAAACACAGACCTGCGCACGCAGGGAACTGGACGTAAACCACGCTCCACGAGTCCACGGACAATTACGGAAAACGTGTGGCAGCCATACCATAGAGAAAACACATTCCCAACCTCCAGACTTTCACCAAAGAACTCCCAAGAACGATAAGTTCCTCCTTTGAATTGTTCCACATTTTGCATTGCATTTGTTTTTATACGTGTTGCAACTCACTACTGTAAACCATAGTAAAGGCTGTTATTAGTGCGTATATCTTCTGAATTATACTATGGCTACCATAAACTGCGCACTAATAATATATCCTTGAAGCATATAAAATACAACGCAATTTTCATCAGTACGTTGGTTTCTATGACAGCTGGTCATAAATTGTCTAATTAGTCCCCCATAGCTGCCGAAATCACTTGCTACCATTTAAAGTGTCAGACCCTTTAGGTGGGTCTACTTAGCCTACTTAATGTAAGCGTATAACAGGCTACGAAAAAATATCCGAAAAGGAAAGAGCTCAAAAAGCGTGTACAATGATGATGAAATTCTGCTTGCCATAGTTCAGAGTGTAATTCTATTCGTATGTATGTATTTCTATATTAATCGTCAACACGTGAAATGAATTCTCACAATGCATGGGCGCGAAAGAGAATACTGTGATGCCAGTGGTTTTGTAGCCTGAAATACGATGGCTGTCGTGAGTCGTTTGCGTAGCTCCTCGGCTGTATTTGAAGTTATAAATTAACTTTTCCAACGTTATGCCCGCCGACGGAGCTCGCGGAATGGACAAAAATGGCGGATGGTGAGGATGGAAACGTGCGCCAGAAATAGTAGTGTAAGAAGTCACATTTTACCATAAACGATTTTCACGCACTGCCAAGACAGCATATCAACATTAACGCATACCAAAAATCTACGGAACGCTGAAAGTGGTATGCGCTTGTACAAAAAGTGCTTTTGATAATTATAAATTTCGCAATATTTCACACGATCTTTTTAATCAACAAACCACAACCTTAGGTATTTCATACCATTTAATAGCCGTAAAATATGCAGGGAAAAAGTAGTATCTGCTTTTTGGGGATGGCTATTTAGATGACTATGATTCATAATTTTGGAAACGATCTTATTTGTTGAATACACGTTAACGCTGTTTAAGGTTAGTTATGAACGACCCAGACGACTTTTGGACTGTTCATAGTGAAAGTGGACGTTTCGAATTAAAGTCGCTCACATACGACTGGTTCAAATCCCTCATTTTTCTATGCAGCTTCCCATCTCCCAAATCCGCAGATGACGCTTTACAACCGTCTTGAGCAAGACCCTTTGCTGGCGCTCAACGTCGTTGCTGACGAGTACCATCGATTGATTAACCTACAGCATGGCATCACTGTGGTGCAATCTGAGGGTCAAAGTGGTTCCGACGTCCATGCGACTCGCCAGGGCTCCAAACCCTGTGGTGCGGAAATCTTTAGCCCACCCCGGTCTGGTCTGTCACATTCTGATAATGCCCAATTCAGTCAGCAGAATGTCCAAAAGAAGAAGACCCCATCCTTATAATGGGACTCCAAGCACTGGCATACTGCCAGGCTGTGGCCTTACACACAATAGTGGAGATGACAATGCAGGACCATGGGTCTCAAAGAAAGACACTGATAGGTACGCTCATCCAATACATCCCATGGCGTCTCCAGGTAGCAGCAATGCCTCAAGAATGCTAAGCCGATGGGTTCCGTCTTTAGTCTGTGCGTAGCGTTTCAATGCAGTCTTCCATCTGACCGTAAATTCCTCTCTGTCTGAATTAATGGACGACTTATCCCACTGTGGTTGGACACTGCCTCGGATATCATTATTGAATGCGTCGTCGACCTCCAGTTCGAAGATCCTCTATAACTGCCCCCGATGCTCGTGGTGGCAAAACGGCTTTCCGGGGGACTGCAATGCATTCTCATTCAAATGAATGAAATTCACTGGATCGTGTCACATGTCCGCTGCCGAATTGAATGATCTTGGTCTTGATACGTTTGAACGTCTTGGTCTCGCACTCACTCAGTCTCACTCAGTTCCGCCTGCAATGAGGTTGCTAGCAGCGCCGCTGCTCCAGATTGTTCCGGCAACATCATTTGACGATTTGATTAGGTTTTCCAGCTTGCTCTCGGTCGCTTTCTCACCAAGCAAAATGTTACCGCATTTTTGCCTTGATTTTCTGATTGTCGCTGTGTCTCCCGATGAACTGCGCACGCGAATCAACATGGTGCTTCAAAGCATTCAGGACAACGGCTTTTGACTCAGTCCTGAACAGCGCCCGCTTTTCATAACAGCTGTTAAGTATTTCGGGCTCCTGCAAGATGACTCCAGTTGAGACCCTGATCTTGAGATCATACGGGTCACTCAAACGATGCCGGCACCCAAGGATGTTTCCACGCTTCGCTCATTCTTGGGACCTCTTGGCTAATGTTCAGCATTTCCTCCAACATTGCACACTCTATGGGCACCGCTCAATCATCTTCTGAGAAAAGACGTGCCCTTGGTTTGTCAGAAGAATCTGAAGCTGCTTTCTGTAAGCTTACGTCCATGCTCAGCTCCGGATGGCTGCTGGCAAATCATGATCTCAAGGTGTCTATTGTCGTGGCAGTTGTGGCTTCCGTCTTCGGCGTCGGTGCTATTATACTCCATGTTTCCCCGAACGGAACTGAGAGGGCGATCGTGCACGCATCCGGGTCACCTACCCGAGCAGAACAACACTAGGGCAAAATTGATAAAGAGGCATTGGCGCTATTCTTTGTTGTCCGCCAATCACGCAAAATGACATGAGCCCTTGTTGTAAATTTTGGCTTCAAACCTTGCGTATCCGCTCATTATAAAAATCGGCTGCTAAGCTAATTGCTTACTCTACCTCCTACAGCTTCAACATCCACTATGGACGGATGGCCAAGCGGATACACTCTCATGACTGATCGGTAATCATACTTCCCCAGAAGAGGAGTTAGTCATTGCGGCCTTGTTCGCCGATGACCATTCTAGCGAGCAGCTGCTCGAAACACTCCCTGCCCCACCATTTGGTGCAGGATATCCGGCGTGAAACTTAAGCTGGTTCGATTCTGCATCAAGCGATCCATCATTTCAGGACATGTTGGCCGACAAAATCCCAAAATCTCCAAACTTTTTTCTATCGTGTGGACTCATTGCCTATCGTTGGCGACGGTCTCATTTTAAATATCCTGTGGTAGTGCCACGCATCGTACACTTTCGTTCGTTCGGGGCATCCTGGGATAAAATAGATGAAATAAATCACTCATTTTCACGCCTACTAGCATCACACGGATCATGACATCTCTTACTACATTTGATAGCGTTGGAATTGTCAACAGTCTGCAAATATACCTCCGCGCATTCCGCCTGGTGCCTGGCTCTTACCCGTACTCCCCTAGTCCCCGGTGCCTGTCGACTACGCTGGACCCATTGATGGTGTTACGTAGCGTATCTCACCATTCCAGGTGACCATAAGTTGTTTCTGTTGCCCCGCCAACGTCAACCAATATCATAATTGCCTCGCCTTAGCTTTCCAGCCAGAAGGGCCTGCTGGATAAGAACGGATGCCAGTTCAGCCCTAGCTGTTACCAAGGGTCTTGCCAGGGAAATATCCCAACGCGTGTACGTTTGCCATTGTACCACCCACAATCAAACGTTCAGCCAGGCAATCAAACCGTCGACACTTTGGAGCGAACGCTCACAGTTGAGTGGACACCCGTCGAATTCCGCACGATATGTCATTTGGACTGTCAGACTAGTCCAAACATCTATTTAGAAGACCGGAACTAATCTTCTTCCCAAGGTGAGATGTCCAGGATATCAATATCCTCAAAAATATGTTTGTCCTCCGAGTTACCCTCAATTTTTTCTTTGCATTTTTATGCTGATCGCTTCTTCCTCTCTTTTGACCGGTTAGACTCGGTGTGCGCTAACCAATTGGTTGTTCCAAGAGGTTGCTCAGTATATGTGACGGTGATCCTGCAGCACTTCGCCTTTGTTCATGCGGCAAATGTCATCCTCTGAAGGTCAAGCCTTCTTTGTGCGCTAGTAGCGTTTGGCATCGCTCCGTAACTCTGGATCTGTGCACTCGTCCTGAAATCACGCAGAGTCGTTGAATGTAACTTTCGAAACCACAAAATTATAAACAAATTTCTCATAAGATACTAAATGGCTTTAAAAAGTTAATCCCCACCGGCCTGTTGTTGTAGTGTGTATGCGTCTGCTTCTCAGCCTGAGCAAAGCAAATGAAGTCAGGTAAAACGCTTCGTCCAGAGTTAATATCTGATGATTAGTGGCTAGCTGCCTGAATGTATAGGTTGTCTGTTTGTAGGGGCTCTCCGCGATCAACCAATATTTATCGACATTTGCAGCCGATTGCGCAGTGACTGCGTTAATGAAATGACGCTGGATGTTCCTTATAACACTCCTTAAAAAAACCAATATCATTCAAAATCACCATCAGAGCATTAGGGTTGTTACTGCTACTGATCCAAAGGCAACTAACGCGCCTACTGGAGATGGTATGAAGAGACTGATTCGCACCAGCATCATCGCATTCACTGCCTACCTATGGTTCTGTCATCCAAATACGATCCTGCAGCAAAAGATGCTGGCTTCTTCTTCCCATGAGTAAGCGGACTTATATACCGGTGGAAACCGGTTGCCAAAATATGCAGTTGTGTGGACTGGGGTACAAGCCTTGGTTTAGAGTTGCAGGTCACTTGAATCGAAGAGTTATAACCCATGAGTTTGCTGACATTCGTCGCAGCATAATTGTTTGCTACGTTACTTCCCTCACAGACCATCGATCATGAAAACTAATTTGCCTCACATTATTATTATTTACGTTCGTTCGTCTGCATACATTTTGACATGGAACTGCAGAATATAAGCCAAAAATGAAAGGATGATTTCGGAGATAGTAGGCAACAGTGATAAAAAACTTTACGCAGCAGGGATCTACAAATGCTTCCCAAAATATTACAAGTCTAGGTGCAGAATAGTCTATAATAAAATGAATCTGAACGACTTACACGCGTTTTTACACCATTAGAAATGATCGAATAAAACTCTAATCTTTAACAGTTACTTCGATGTGGAGAAGAAAAGGGAAGTCGTGCTTCAGGTGCATCAACTTTCTATCTCCTGGGTTAAATTTAAACAGCACAACGAAGGTCGTGATGGGTGTGCATTTTATACTCTGTATGTGATTATATATATACCGACCTGAAACCCTGATCAACGAATTGCCACAGTTGAGAAAATTGCAGAATTTTAGGCTTTGCCAACACAATACAATACAGTAATATCCTAAAACAAAGCCCGCCCGTTAGTCTCATACTGTTGCAATGTGCAGATAAGGAACAGCGCGTGTGTATGGAAAGGAATACGCTTGCATTATGCTGGAAAAGTGCACCTGGGTGAAGAAGAGCATAGGTTGTTTTCTAAATTAAAGTATTTTACACCGCTTCTCATGTAAATTACGATGAAAAATTAGGAAAGCCCGGGTCACCGTCATATTACTTTGCTTACACCGACGATATTTATTTAGGTATCTTTGAGTTGGTTAGAATCTCCACAATGCAGCAAATTTAAATCAAAACTCAATTGCATCTGTCGGTCTAAGTTTATCTGTCGGAGTCCCATTGGATGTTGTAAAACATTACATGACCAAATGGCTGAAAATTAACGTATTGCAAACCGACTCATCATATTTTCTACTCAACTCACATCAAATGTGAAACTTGCATAACAATAACTACCATACTGTGGTGAACATTGACTCTATTCTATCCTTTGTTTTGCGATATATAGTACGCCCGCGATATACGAAAATATACGATATTCATTAGTCCATATTCGGACTTTTATACTTCGCGTACAGTACATTCG